CACAGTCCATGCAGTCTCTGGTTAGGAGGGTGATTTTTAGGTTAATTCTTAAGTCCTCGCACTTCACGCTTTTAATGGAGTGACTAAAATTAAAACACTAACAATACCACACAGTGGTAAGGATGTGTATGTAAATTTTGGAATTCTCATTCATTGATGGTGGGAGTGTAAGATGGTACAACTGCTTTGAAAACCAGTTTGGGTATTTCTTATAAAGTTATACCCTACAACTCATTAACTATTTTGCCCAAAAGAACTGAATACAACAAGTATTGGTTTGGGTGAAGAGAAGGACAATGTACCATAAGTGAGTGATCAACACAGGGGCACTGAGGAAGAGGAAGACACAGGGAGATGTATGGGAGGTACAGACAACATACAGCACTGTGTTGTCAGTGACAGCAAGCATTGATCTACAGGTGGACAGACGAGTGAGCAGGTCCATCTACTCAGGGGGGATGTGCCCATGACCATGTACAGGGTTGGCAGACAATGTTTCTTCAAGCATATCTGTATGTGCTGTAAGGATGTCTGAGTGTACAGTAGAGCTGACAAGGGACAAGGTTGTGGTCACTTCCTGGCCACAGCCAGCTACCCTGAAGCAGTGAGAAGCTGGACCTGTGGGCTCGGGACCATGATCGCAGGGGACATCAAGCTCAACTGGCATAACATACTAACAAAAACACTGTTCTACATCCTACTTCGGTGAGTAGAAACTAGGGTTTTAAAAGCTTGCAAGAGGCCATCTAGATGCAATGATGGGTCTCTTCTCATCCAGAGCAAATAAGAAGAAAACCAAAGACATGGAAGCCATTAGTCCAAGGAATTAGTAGACCATGTGATCCTCAGGCTGTAAGCCCATGTGACCAGAAGAACTAGATGGTGCCCGGCTACCACTGGAGGAGGACTGGTGCAGAAGATCCTCGCTAGAGTGGGAGAACAATGTGGAACGAAACTCAAAATCACAAAACAAAAAAGATCAGATTCCTGGTTTGATAGAGCTTGGTGAGACCCCCAAGACTATGGTCCCTAGTAACCCTTCAGGTCAGGAATTGAACTCACTCGTGTGGCTTCCAGCCAAACAACAGACAGGCATATGAGGTGAACACTTACCTCAGGTAGATACACTCCTTGGAGTGATCAATCATGGGAGAACAGAAGGCCAGCATTTGCACAGGGAGACAGCTTGGGTTGGGAAGGTGGGTAACGCATGGGAGGGAAGGACACAGGGAAGAGGTGACTATGGGGGAGGAAGTGGGAAGAGAGCTGTTATAATGTGGGGCATTGCAGTCAATGTCATGAGACAAAATGTGTATGAACTGTTGTAGGGAAAATGAATTTGCTCTGTAAACTTTCACCCAAATCACAATAAAAATTTAAAAAAAAGAGAAAGAATTGAAAATGTGTGTCCATAAAAAGATTTGTACAAGAATATTTATAACTATTTATAATAACCAAAAACTAGAAACTACTCATGTCTATGGAGAATACATAGACCAATGATGGTATCACCATCTCAACTGCTGGTACGTGGAACCATGTGGAGGAACCTCAAAATGTTACATTGAGTGAAAACACACAAATGTGGAAGAACCGACCGTCAGGACTCCAGTGACAGGAAGTTTAACAACAGGAAAAAGAACATCTACGGTGATAAAAATCAGGAAAAAGAATGCGTGCTGGCAGTTTGGATTAGTTCATAGGGGGACACACAGAAACTTTCTGAGTGACAGAAGTATCCCACTTGATTAGGGTATTGATTAAACAGGTGTATGCACTGGTCAAAACTCACTAATTTGTACACCTAAAATGAGTTCATTTCACTGGTATATTTTGTCTTACTTTCTATTTTACATAATAAAACTGCTTTTATTTAATTAAATCTTTCTTTACTTTTCTTTCCTATTTCTCGATGAGCTTTTCCCCCTCAAACATCTTTAAAAAAAAAAAAAACTTTTATTGTTGTAAAAATAATATAAAAAAAAAAATCCTTAAGAAAATGTCAACATTCACCGATAGGATGAGATTCTAGTTTCCAAAGCAACATGTTTTGGAAAACATTTTAAGAGAACTTTCCTTGTAATCCCTTAAATGAGGGTAGTAAATGCAGACTGTTCAAGTTTAAAACTGAAAACTCCAATATCCTAGTCCACTGACCATCATTAACAATGGGTCTGAAATGCCACACCCCACAGTGGAATCCTGGGGCATCCGCGTGTCCACCCACTACCCATTCACAGGCTGTGTGATGGTATACACTTCTGCACACAGGACAGTAATGAAACAAAGCCTCAGAGAAACAAGAAAAGGCGACAGGAGGTAACAAACAGAAAGCTCCGTGAGGGTGAGGAAGGAAGCGTACCTGTGGGGAGGGGTATGTATATCCGTTTTTCTAATCTCCTCCGCAGAGCTTCATCGATGTCCCACGGGAAATTCGTGGCGGCCAACACCATCACCATTTTGGACGGGTCCTCGTTTTCCAGGGCTCCCCCAACCCCTGAACACAGAAGGGAACAAAGATGTAGTAACTCCCAGTAGCCCCGCATCCTGACATCCCGCTAACACCGCCAAGCGGGAGCCACTGGGTGAGGTGGTCAGATGCAATGGTGGAAACAGCCAAGTGCTTCTGACCTTGACCAAGGATCTCGGTGTGGGGGCACAGCCAGACCAACCGGTGACCACAAAACAAACAAGTGGAAGGATTCATGGAATCAACTCAGGATTTGAATCCTGTAGGACAAACTAAGGAGCTCTGGTGGTGTACTGCCTAAGGCATTTGACTGCTAACCAGGAGGTTGGTGGTTCAAACCCACCAGTCACTCCACGGAAGGAAGACTGGGCAATCTATTTCCATAAAGATTTACCGCCTCAGAAACCCAATGGGGGTTACTATGAGTTGGAATCAACTCGACAGCAGTGAGTTTGATTTTTCTCTATTTTAGGAAAAACTTTTTTTTTTTTTCCCTGTAGGAAAAGAAGGTCTACTTCCTTTGGAAAGAAAAGGGATGGGGGATTTAACTATTTCATTCTTTTCTCTTTTTTTTAACCATAAAGTTCTTCAAAAATGTGTTATCTTAGTTTTTCAGTCTAATTTACTTGATTTTCTCAGAAGAGGACAGAGAAGAGGTCTCAGGTTGATGTATTGGGCTAGCTCACCATCGTAATTTTCAAAGACAGGTCATACGACAATCATTTTATTCTTCAAATTTGTAAGTGACTTGTAGAAAATAAACAAGAAAGGAAACCTGAGCATGACCCTCCTCTCATTCAGAGCCAAATACATGACTCCCTTTCATAACCTAGCCAAATTCACCACTTGTTGTTATTGTTATGTGCCGTCGAGTCGGATCCAACTCATAGC